TATAATTACATAATATTTTTTCTCGTAATAATTGATTATAGTTTAAGATGAATTGAACATAAGTATACTTATATATCGACCAGAGAGAAAATTAGAGAGAGAGAGTCAGTGAGAATGAGTGAACTTTATATTTTGTAGGTATATAAATTAATAAAAAAAAAAACGTGTATAATAGGTTTATAACACTTCAAAAATTAAAAAAAAATTAAATTATACAAAAAAATATTTCATATTAAATAAAAACATTCCAAGTAATAAGAATTATATTTGTATCGATATTTTGAATAATATTTATGACTAGAGATGGATCAGCAGTAGCCAGTAATAATAACATGAACCGGGGCTTACAACCCGGTGCTAACCAATGCCGATACTTAGTCTGTCTTAGAAACATATGAGTATATTTTGATATTTGAGAGGCTTAAAAAAATTATAATAATTAATAGTGAAATTGAAAAAAAAAATCCATCGATCTTTAACATATAGTAATAGTTACTTACAGTTAGATTTTTGAGAAATCTATATGGTAAATTTATACACTTACAATAATATTATATAATAAACACATCAACACATAAATATTTTATAACAATATTTGATCATATTATCATCATAGATAACATGAACCAACACCAAAGGCACGCGCATCACTGTATGCGAATTTGAGACCAATCACTTCATAATCGATGAAATTAATTAATTAATTTTTTTTTAATTTTTTTTTAATAAAAATCTATCGCAATTTAGATTAATCCATATTATGTGGAAATAAATACTTGTAATCTAACGATACGCCAGCAGCTAGTGTATCAGGACGGAGCTGTAAAATAATAATATATTATGTTTATTACATTTCCACCGATCTTTGGATCAATGACTGTAGCATAATATGTAAGTAGGTAAAATAACGACGTTAATGATTTATCGATGTGTCTGCGCATGCCCTTGATGTAAAAATGCACACAATAAATAATAAATATAATTGAATGACATTATTATTTGTATTTAAAATATTATTATTTTTCTATAAAACATTTTCCTCAAATGGAATAACACGTCCAAAATAATTAATAATAATATATATATATACGTAACCTATAATATAGCCATATAGGAGCATATTATTAGGTATCTGTACAATATGGGAATATCATATTTAAAAACATTCAATATGTAATAATATATAATATTTATAATTAATCCGTTAAAAGACACACGCTGTCGAGATTTGTCGAGCTGAGGGTGAGAGGGAAGACATCGCTCAGAGAAGGAAAATAGTGCCATTCCGATAATATCAATCATAACAATAATAATAATATTAATCATATGTATAGTAATATTCAGGAATATCGGCCGATCCGCGATGACTTGTTCGATAAGTATAGGTGGTGCCTATAAATTTGTCTGCTTTAAATTCGTTCGGAATTCCTAGCTATATCTCAATAATAACATTGATAATAATATAGTTTCCAAGACCGTTTGTCGTGTGTGCCATCGCTGAAACGCGAACGACAATTTATAATAAAAATATAATATTATCGGCACCGAGAACACGACGTGGTCGTCGTATCAGCATAACCGTTCTACATTATAATGTGACCGAAATCGTAATAATGTCTGTAATGCTTGCAAGTGTAAGTGAAACAGATAAATCCAAGTCTAACGGATCGCGGCTTAATACGACAGTAGGTAGGTACCTGTTTGGTAGGTAGCGGGTAATGGATAATAATATAATTGCAAAAATATTATAATCGAAGGACGACCGAATAGTCTTTCCGCGCTACGTTTGAGGGAATGGGCACACATTTTTTGAACCGCCCTCCCCCCCTCACCGGTTCGATAATCGTATTTTAACGATATAGGTACACGAACCGTGCAAATTAAATTTACTCGAATGTTTGCATTTTACGTCGGATTATAATATTATAATAATAAAATGTAAATGCACTGCGTTTCGTACAACCCGTTTTCCGAAGCGATGACACCGTTGCCACTAAGGTTGTAAACACGGTATAAAAATATGTCGCCGAGGCTTCTGCCACCGAGGGAAATTATACGATTTTATGAGCGAATTTCGACAAATCACGCAAATGTGGAAAATAACTATAATGTTTGGCTTGTCTATAGTAATATCATCGTGATATTGTAATACGTAAACCCGACCGCAGACATCAATAACAACGATTCTTATAATAATAATATTGTAGTAATAATAATTAATAATAATAATACGATTATACACATAATTCGAAATTTGATATAACCGGAAAACAAATATCACACATATAGGTACGCATCATTTTTTTTGTTTTATGCTTATTACAATAATATTGGCTTAAAAACGATAATTTATTATATTAATATTATCATACAATTTGATAGATTCACACACAATTAATTACAATGACATGCTGTAATATTATTATTATTAATGCTTTTTTACTTAATGGTATTTGGAGAGGTAAATTTTATAATTATTATTATTAATTCCAATATTTTATTTACTATATATACAAATAGGTTTCGTTTTTTCCCCCATAGATCTCAATGGTCCATCATGACATGTAAGGAATAAAAAGTTAATAATTATGATAAAATAAGATTATAATATTATGGTATTATTTGTATTATAACATTTATGTACATGAGATAAATGCCTATAATACATAACCAAACACGAATTATAATACTCCGAAATCATTAAATAATTAAATTAAACTGAAAACAATAATTTAGCAGACACTTTGGTCGATGTTCTCGGCCACAGCCTCTATAATAAAAAAAAATTTTATGATATTGTGGTAATAGTATGTTGGGCATTTCAAAATATTCAAAAGATAGGTATATTTATAAATTATAATATATATTTTCGTATCTGCATTATAATATGCGAAGTGACACGATATCATAATTTGGTATAATAATTATAATACAAGGAGTAAATCTAGATGTATAGGTAATTTACTAATAATAATTTAATTTAGGTAGGTACTCAAAAGTACACGAATAATATTTAATTGTTAGGATATTATTATTATTATTACAACAGAACACAACATATATTATTATTCATTTAAATAAAACTGGATAAGCGACTTAATATGTTATCAAATAATATAATATTTACCCGTCATAATATTATTTTTACGAAATTCAAAATCAAATATAATAATATGTTACCTGCTCGTATATAATCATATTATTTAAACAGACACGCCAAATACTCTGAAATAGTTTGAGAAAAACGCTGGACGAACTTTCCCTTATAGATGCGTATTGGGTTTTTCTCATAATAATATAGTTAGTGAGGCAGGTTACCGCTATTATATATTACATAGGTTATTATCAATGACTGGTAAACGTAGTAGATTGTGGTAAAGAAGTAACTTTGGTAGAAGGAAAAAAGTATAGAGAAGGTTTTTAGATGAGGAGCTCAAGCCCGGATTATGGATCAATTGGGCCCCTGGACACCGTTTCAGGGCCCCATTTCAACTATAACTTTAAAAAAATTATATCACTAGATTTTTATCACTGTATTTTGTAAATGTTTAATTTTGTACTGTAATTATATGGTACCTCAAACCAATAGATCAGAAATACCTAATATAAATTATTACCTGCACGACGCACTTACAATCATAGATAATAAAGACTATTATCTATTATGCGACTATGCGTACAATGTAGTTCACAACTCCCATTTTTTAAACTTCATCATATATTATATTATTATCAGCTATAAGAATGTTAATTTAATATTTATTATAATTTAGTAATTTTTCGTGATATGAAATTGAGAACATTTTTATTTTATAAATACGAATATGTTCTACTAAAATTTTTTTTTTTAAACTGTTTTGAACGCATTAAAAAAAATATTTCTGAGATAAATATGGGTCCCTCCGTCCCCCTTATCCGAGCTTGTTGGTGCTGCAGAAGAGTGTCCATGATGAGGTCAGATAGATATATGGTGACCTCATTAAGAAGAAATGGAGAAAATATCAGCTGAAAGAACAAAAGGACAAATTAAAGGATTGGCTGTATAAATGATGTATTGAGACAACGATGATGGAATGCTTGGATCAGTAGTATATTGGTGTTTGTGAAAGGTAAAATTATAACGTATATATTGGATTATACAAGGCAAAAATTTGAAAATGAGATCAAGGAAGCAATTTGCACGAAAAAAATTAACAGGAAAAAAGTATAGTGGGTAACAGAGGAATGTGGATGGAATTGCCATTATCTACTGCAGGATTGAAAAACAGACTAATAATAATAACAGCGCCATAATAACAAGGTAAGACTTTATAGTGATTTTTGTTGATTATAAATATTTACAACCCTATGACTACCAATCTATATCTAACACTATACTATTAGGGTTTGAAATCGAAATGAAATTTATCGATTTTAATTTTACTTTTGATAAGTGATATTATTTTTTTTTCTGATTTCAACTTAAAAAAAAATATTGATTTCATTTAATTTGTATAAATAGCTTTTTTTAAATTTAAATTATCACATACGATTTTACGATTTTAATTTTGATTTCTACCTAATACAGCTAAATATTAGTTATATATAATATAATATTAGTTTATTGCCTATACCGATAAACACTATCATAGCCCCATTGGATATTGCTGAATTTAAAATTTAAAATTTGAATTAAATTTTTTAATTGATTTGTATGTATAAAATGTATATTTATTTAATTTAATATGTTATTGTAAAATGATTATAAAGAATATTATTTTTAACGATTATTATTCTTTTCGTTGATATTTAAAATTGATTTCAAGCCCTGACTACTACTACTAATAATAATAATGTAGGATTAACTTATCTTACTATATAATAATATAATATAATTATAATATGTATACAATGTACATGGAATAATATTAACGAATACTCCCGTATTACTTGCCGGAGAAATCGTCGGAGACACTGATATAATACACATCACTTTACGTGTATATTATATTATATTTAGTCTAAAAACGTAGGAATCTGCGCAATCTGCTTTTTTTGACGGTGCCGACGCTTTCCCCATTTGCGATGGCAGACTTGTCGGCGGCGGCTGCAGTGGGGTTGTTGGCCGTGTTCGGCGCCGCCGAGATATAATAGTGATAATCACGGCACCGGCGGCGGTCTCTTGACGCGGCCACGGCTGCGGCGGCGGCGTTCACCCGGCGGCGGTTGTTCTGCCTCAGCGCCTCCCAGTCAACGCACTCGCAACCGGACACGTTCACGTTGCCGCGACACCCGGTCGAACACTCAACCTCGTCGTCCACCGTACAGTACGGGCACGGGACGCAAAAGCAACATAGCAGCCAGCGCAACCGGCACTTGTCTGACGAGGCGCCCGCCGTCCGTGGCTCACCGTCACTGTCTTCCGGTTTGGCGGTGGCGGTGTTGTTGGCGTCGGCGGTGTCGTTAGTGTCGGCGGTGGCGGTGTCGGCGGCGGAGTCGGTGACGGTGGCTCTAGCGGCGGCAGCGGCTGCAGCGGCTGCGGCTACGGCAGCCTGAGCCCTTACGGCATTGGCCTCGGCCCTGGCCAAGTTGGAGGCCGGACATCTGGCCGTCTTCTGGACGCACGGCACGCAAACCGTGGTTGTCTCGACGCAAGCTTCATCGCACCGCGATCGCACGTCTAGCACGCCACACACGCGCATGCCGGGATACTTGCACAGCTTCTGGCAAATGGCGCACCGGCATTTGTGGCACACGTTGCACGCCAACGTGTCTTGTGGCACTCGCTGTTCGGCCTTCCACGGCACGTATGCCGGAAACTCATCGATGATGCCTTCGCCGGGCCTCGGCGGCGGTTCTGATGATGATCTCATGCCTTGAAACGTTACGGCCGGCAGGCCTGTGTTGTTAGAGTCGGCGATGCGGCTTGCAGCGCAGGAATATGACACACTGTAAGGCGTGGATGAGCAGGAAGCGGTGGGATCCCCCTGCAGCTGTGGCGGGACAGCGCTGTTTACAAATAGCGTCTCCACGTATGCGTTATCGGCGCGCTGGTGAGCAGGACGAGGTCGGTTGAGCGACGCGACACTCTTGTCGCGAACCGCACCTCTCCGCTGATGTCTGCTTGAAAAGTCAATTACTCTGGATGGGACTGCTTGTTGGTGATCGTCGGGAATCCTGGTTGGCAATTCGTGAACACCTGCCCGAAACGTAAGTTCGTTCACATGTGACCGATCCTTTTTTTGATCCGTTATTTTTGTCCGGTTTCTTGTCTTTGGTCATGTTTGACGAGGGTCATGGTGGGCCTGCGCAGTTATTGCGTGCGAGGGCGTCCCGCCCGCGTGGACCATCATCAGAGTTGTGGGGCCGTTACGATGGTAGTGCAGTAGTGGTGCAGTGGTGGCCACTCTATACACTGCACCAGTGTACAATGTGCATATAATATCGTATATGTGTGTGTGTGGTTGTGTGTGTGTGTGTGTGTGTGTGTGTATATATGTGCAGGGCACTACCGTTGACGTGCGTGCCACCGCTGCAGGTGCCGGGGGTGGGGGGAGAGATGTCGGTTTCGAGTCACAGCCAATATCTGTTGGCAAAAAAAACAAAACCAAACATGTTTTCTGTAATATATAATATTATCATTATCGATTTCTTATTTTGTAATTTTGTTTGTTCATGACCTTTACACGCCGTTTAATTTTTAATATATTTTATGATATGACATTATCATTAATGGTAGCATCAGAATCATGCCAAACACTCGGTGAAAATGGTTATTTTCAATTATTAATAATATAATTAATGATATCACATAGATACTGTGTGATATATTATAATATTAATATTTTTACATATATATATATATATATTTACTATACAGGCACCACTTATATTACACACAACGTGTTTACGGCGTCACGTTTAATAATAATTATTAGTTATTAGTTTTTACCATTTACTTTGGATTATCAAATAGTTACATTGATACACATTATGAAAATTTTCCTTAATTTTCTTGTCATATATTATTATAATATTATATAATACACATTTTTTTTTTTTTTGAAAATGTAATAATAACAAAATGTCAGCAATTTTCCCTTTTCTTCTGGTTCCGGTGAATGAAACAAGGTCGTTAAGACTTAAGACAAGTTGTCTTAGACAGCCGTTTGTTACGTATCTATAGGTACAACGTAAATACTAAACGTTTATAATATATCTTTGCATCTTTCCACACACTCACACACAGAATATTATAATAAATATAAGTATGTACTGCAGTATCGCAGTGTCCAACAGTTATTGATAAATGTTAAGTATGACTCCAATGTAACTACAGACTTACTTCAGACACTCCTACACGAATGTCGAGTAGACATAAACATATTATTCAGAGTGATTCATCCTTTAATAGTATAGGTACTTATTCAAACTCTGACATTTGGAATTTTGCGGTAAACTTTATAGAGTCTAAAGTGTAGACCATTTATTAAAATACTTAATTATTTTATATGGGTTTCTCTGCTGTATTTAAAGTATGTATAGATTCAAACTTCTTTTATTCAAATTATATTCATCGTTTTTTTTACTGTGAATTGTTAAGTGGACTTTTTTAAAAAAAATACATCTGAATCTTAATTCGAACGAATTAATTAATTAATCTTAATTTAAACCTATCTAATACATGCGTTTGTCCTTTATGCGTTGAAGAATTTAATTTTAATATCCTCAATAAGAGGATAATAGAAAATAGAAAATAGTAGTATTTTAGTATAAAAATAATTACATAATTATCATGTACCTCCTTACTAGTTTCACAAACTATAAAATGTTATACATTAATATTATTGAGATTCTACTTCTAAGTGTATGTCATAAATAACATAATAAAAATCTGCACAAAAGTTAGGTATTAATTAATATTTGTTTATAAATCAACCACTTATACATAGGTTATGTATCTGCAATGCCATTCCCATAATTTCTGAAACTATTATTAAGTAGATTTGAAGCATCTTCTAATTTTAAAACAAATTAAATGAGAAAACCAAAGTTATTTTTTAATTAAGTTAGACTTATACTCTTATAAATTCAAACTATTCTAAATCTACATTTAAAAAAAAAAAATTATTATTCAAAGACAAAATTAATTATTTTTATGACATTGAAAGCGTACTGAGGAAGCAAATTTTGTTCTTTTAAATTGTTTCCGTTTAAATAAATATAGCACAAAACAAGCTTATAGTAAAAAATTGTTATAAAATATATACACATTTACCCCGTACATGGTTTATATTATGACCGAGCATGTTAATATTCGCCCTTGAAACGTTTTAATAATAATTAAAAATGTAAACCAATTACGACTCCCGAGTCGAGAGAGACTTATGGTATCATAACGATAGGTAGTATCAATATTATTATTGTTATTATTCGATAGATCGATCAAACAGGACCCCGAATAAAGGTGGGTGCACAGCTTGACGTGTCGTGTCGTCTTCTTGCACATACGTAAGTAAAAAACTGTCGGTAACACATTACCAACGAGTGGTCAATTCAACACAACAAGGCGAATTGTGTACGCCATAATGATAATATAACTTATATGTACCAAAACACATTTAACAGAGGTAGCGAAAAAACAAAAATAAACCTATAATATTATTTAAGCGAACAAAGTCCATATTTTACTAAGCGGGAGAGTGAGTCTCCGGTAGATTATACGTTTTTTTTTTTATCAGTCACTTAAGTATACAAATGTATGCGAGGCCATTTAACGATAAAGGATTTATTTTTAATGTTTATTTAATATTATTATTATTATTATTATTACAATACATTAATAATGTAAGGCTATATAGGTACCTATTGTTTTTGTGGAAGAGTGCCAATTTAGTTGCATGGGTGGTTGGGGGTGAATGGATGATAATATTATGGAAGAATATCCAATATGAACTCGCATAGACTATAAGGGAACCCAATGAATCAATATTTAATCGGTTTTCATAAAGTATTGGATTACGATATAATAATATGCAACTGTATCGGCACCCTATCGGACAACGGTATCCACACTTCACCGGGTGTACGTCCGACACGCCAGTAATAGTCGATAACGTTAAAATATAGTTTGGTGTGTAATTATTATCTTATCTGAATTTATTGGGTGTTGTTACAAACGAAATAAACATGTCAAACATAGTATATTATATTACTTTATACGTCCATATATTAATATTTGCTATACAAGTATTATAGGTATATTATAGGTATTATCGCATATTATAAACTTGTATAAATATTATAATATATAGAGCCCGCCGGGTAGAGTGGTATATTTCGTTTCTGTTGGCTCACAATATACAAATACACTTGTCTAGCGCATTGCAAATATTATTTTATCTACAGTGCGGTGTGTGCATATGGTTTTAAATCTTTGTTGGTTTTGGTACAAGAGGGCTTAATACTCCCCGATAAAAATTAAACCCAATCGTTCGATTCTTCGGTGGATTGACATTATAGACGCTTATTTGAAATCGAGAGTACAAATCGACATTAGATATTATGAATAAAATATATATTATACAGCTGGTAGTCAGGTACCTATACCTATAGTACAGCCGGTAATAATATGTCTATATATAGTCATCTCGACTATATATACCTACTCAAATCGGTCACGTTGTCAAGTATAAGTGTTTAGCTATAATATAAAGATTATAGAAATCAATATTAATCTATTAGCAATTTAGAATTTTTAAAAATGGTCTCAGTACCTATAAAAAGTACATCCATTTTATAATTGTATGTAGCTAGTCAGTTATAGGTAGCCGTAGTTCCCAATATGTTAAACCTATTATCATTAGACAATATCCTTCATTAATAAAGTAAAGAAATAATAGATACTCCTATGAACTTCGATTGACGGTTTATATACATCATAGTTCATAAGAAAGTGATCTGCTTTTTAATAATTTACAATAAAAAAAAAGGTTCTCATTAGAAAAAATAAGTTTACATCTCTACAGGACATAAATGCGGAAAAAATATCTAAAATGTTCTATAAAATATAGTCATTCCAAGTATAGGCACTTGAAAATTCCAAACATCACAATTTTAATAAATGCAAAAATAAAGGGTACAATGGGGTGCCCATGCTCGGCGAAGCATACTGTTTAGTCGAGTTGTTCCCAACCTTTTTCATTCTATTCATTTCTTTTTCGAATATTATTTTAAAATACTCTTAGGTATAGTGCCTGTATTGTATGCTTATTAGAGCCTATTAGAGCCAGTTTCCCCTTTGCATATTGTACTAATGTAGGTACTATTAATGACTACTATCGATCAAAATAATTAAATAGAATAACCAGTCACCACACAACAGTAAGTTTGTATTCAATGCAGTATAATATCAGTACTTATAAAATTTATAAAAATAAACTTCGAATAAGCTCACATAGATCTTAAGATAATATTATTATAATAATTGTATAGAAATATTTGAATGAAAATTCAGAATCGATATTTTAAAACCATACAAAAGTATTTAGGTTTATAGTTATCTCCGTTGTATTATTTATAGTGTCTGACATTAGATGTTCATGTTTTAAAACTTAAACTTCTGAAAAAGTCCAATTCAAATTATTCAAATTTTACTATAAAATTCTACAATAATTTGAAAAAGTTATGAGAACGCATTCTCATATTCAACTTGAGTTATATTTAAACTTTTAAAATAATTAAGAAAACTTATAGCATTATGAATTTCTGTGAAGAGTTTAGGTGAAAATATATACACAAATAATTTAGTCCTACTCGAATCCTCAAAAAAGTTATGTTTTTATTTCGTTTCACTATTATTAAAAAAAATACATGTCTATAGATACGAATATTAAAGTAGGTATAATTATCATTTATAATATAAAACGAATTCAAAGAATTTTCAATTTTCAATTTTACCAAATCTGCATTTGAATGAGTTTGCTTATATATATTATCAGGTAATGATGTGCATACCGATATATTATGACATAAAAGAACCGATAAATACAAGCATAAACTATTAAATACACCTCATTTTGATTCAATTAAAGTAGCGAAATGAATAAAGTATAATAGTTCAATCTAATTTAATATATTATTATAGAAATTATAAAAGAAATTAAAAGGAACGCGTTCAAAGGGTAAACTTATGATGCGATTTAAAAATTTGATGACGAGACGAAATTAAAGACGAATAATTTAATTAAAAAAAATCTGTAAACTCAGCATTTTATTATGAA